TAGGTAGTTTTTAATAACGCTGATTTTTCAGTTTCTGCCATTGTATGAGCATGAAACAGCTTTTCGCTAAGTTTTCATTTATAACCAGTTTTAAGTATAGACATTTGAACCAGATTTAAGAGTAAACCTAACCTTCTGACATAAAATTCTTTTGACATTTCTGACATGTAGTTAATTTATAATAATTCTTATTTTGTACTTTGTATGCATATATGACAGTAACTGATTTTTGACATTATGTTAGTCATATGAAAAATGAATTCAGAATATTTAAATTCTTATATAAATGATTCTAGCTTCAAAATAACAGTTATAAAATACCACACTATATAATAAATATGAATTTTTTGGCAATAGTTTTTTCTTTAATATTTTACATTTAGATTTACTATATAGTTAGGGAAGCATTTCAAATTTAACCACTTGAGGGGTACCGTCCCCGCCTTCAGAACATATATTTGATGTTTTGTTCCCAAAAAGTACAACTCTGTAAAAAACTGTCAATTTTTCAAAAAAACACATTAGTTGTCTTTTTATTCAATAGATGGCAATACCACTGAAAATTATGTTTAATCTAAAAAGGGAGTTAAAAAGTGTGAGTTTCTGAGGCCTAGTAATTTTTGGTTTTTCAGAATAGAAAAACACAGCATAATGAATGAATGAAATATTAGTGAGCATTTTTATTTTTATATACACAGACTTCACAAAATTTGGTTGTAAATTTTAAAAGTTAAAAAAAGACAAAATTTTATATGCGATTGAACTAAACGCGTTCCACTATATAGTCCACATTAATCAATCTTGCACTGTACAAATGCATGTTGGCTTGTAGCATAAGGGTAATGCTCAAAAAGGTTTACAATAAACAAATATCCCCGGTACAATTGTAACTAAATATCAGCTATGTATGTTTAGTGGCAAGTCTGAAACGCTGGCCTGGTATAAAAGCCTGACCATTTTAGCAAAGTATGAATATGAGAATTTTACTTCCTAGCAGGCGAATCAAATTCTCTTTAGGCAGGAAAAAGCTAGAAAGGGATTATTTAAAATTTCAAAGCTGTCTTTTTGAATAACAAAATTTGCAAAAACTGAAAAATATTACAAAAAATTCGAATAAATAAAAACTATTGAGACAATCTTAATTGTAGTTGTACTGACTGAAAGGAATCGGTAAGTCCCGCAATGAAATAAGTCAGAACAATCATAAGTTTACCTGCCCTTTTAATACTTTTTTTTTTTGGTGTGATCTCACAAAAAGTAGTCGTTACGTGCGAAATTTACACACATTGTTGTCACGTCGTCCGGGGCATACGTAGGCCAATGCTGTCGGATATGGGAATAACTCACGTCCCATGACGTAATACTGTATAGTACTGACGCTTTCTTTAACAGGATAAAAGAATGTAATTTTGTTTTCCACAAACACTACATCCTACCGATTTTGCAGTAGTCACGTGGTTCCTTCTTAGTAGTCATTTTTGCCTTTTTACATAATTTATTAACTTTTGGTAAGTAGTTAGGTTCTTCAAAATGAATCGAAAATGTTTTATACTTTGCCGGTTTGTCATTTGGCATTCTATAGAATTCCTAGGAAATGAGTGAAATATGAATCGTTTTAGGCATTGTATAGAATGCTGGATTTCAAACTTTACCAGTAACATATCAGAAATTCAGAGAAATGTTTAAGAGTATCAATATTTTCTGGATTACAAAATTAACCTTTATTGAACAAATGTAAGCTGTCTTAATTTTTTGTAATTTAAATGATTTTTATTTATATACTTTTATTTAGTATTCATCATATTATTTATTACATGAATATTTTTTAATTATATTAAAATATTTGTTTATTGACGATTAAAATGAACAAACTAATAAAATTCAAATATCTGCTGCCGCAAGAGTGCTTTTCGTATGTACAGTATTAGATACTTTGTGTGTTTGAATGGGAAGCATTCTCGTCTTAAGACCATAGGGTTCCAATAAAAATAAAAAAAAAAAAAAAAAAAGAGTAATAATATCCCGCCCCCGGATGAGAAACATTTTGTCCATTAGCTAAAGAATGCATTGTTTAAAAATGAAAGATAAGATTTTATGGTATGTCGGTTGGCAGTGCCTCGCAGAACTGGTTGTTTATTAGGTTCTATTTAATATGAGAAGTAAAAGATTTTATGCCTTTTGAAATGGCAACATTGATAGGCTGTATTGATTATAAATGCCATGGTAAGCTTAACAGTTAAAAAAGAATGGGAAAGACTAAGGTATGGGTGTTCTAATATCTTAATTTTATGTGGGAATTGTGGGATTTTTTTATATATTTAACATTAGTTAATTTATGGTAATGAAACAGTAATAGTTACTAATATCTAATAAATCACTTGTTCTGAATATGAAATGACATTTTATCATTTATTTTTCTTATCTCACATTTTCCATGATTTTATATACAGGGTTAGCCTAAAAGAAATAGACAGATAAAGCGTTTATAAAATTAAAAGTGTTTTTATCAAAAAGAATTTAATGCCATTTTATACGTCTTCCAGTTTCAACTACTTCCTTTCATCTGTTTTCACATCATCAGCATCATGTGAAAACTTGTGATGTCAGGTGAGCTATATGACTTCTTGTATGCTTGAATGTAGGGGAATTTTTTTTTAAAAATTCTGTTTAGTGTTGCTTTAAAACAAGGTGTGGACAGAAATCTCCCTTAACATTGTATTAGCTGTTCAAAAGGCCAGACCATGCCTTGGCATTTTGGCCAACAAATTTGGCAAATTTTAAAAAGTGCATAACAACAGTGCATCTAATATGGGCATGCTGATATGTGTTTGGGAAAAAGTTAACTATCACATTGATATCTGTCATGTTACAAAAGGGACACATATAGAACATTTCTAACTTCAAATATATACTCTTGTAAATATTTCAGCCATGCTATTAAAACTCTTGCTCTTCAAAATTTTAAAAGTATCAGTTTCTTTTGGCTGACCCTGTACATTACTCATAATCAGTTTCTGAAGCTCTTTTTGTATGTATTGTTAGGTTTTATTGTACACATCCATCAAAACAGCCAGTGTCTATTGTATCATATAAAGTCAATGATGGTATTTGTGATTGCTGTGATGGTAGTGATGAATGGGAGAAAGTCATACTTCCTGAACATACTGTAGTCCATGGTATATTTAAAAAAATCTTACATACTTTTAGAATTTTTCAACACATAATTATGAGCAATTAAATTTTAAATTCTTTTAGTTCTGAGAAATTTCTAACAATAAAAATTAATTTCAATCTAAACATGGAGGTAGGAAAAGGAGCAGCGGTAATTTTTTTAGTTGGAAGAGCAAATTTCTTTTGCTGCCTTAATTACAAAATAAAGCTTTGAAACTGCATGACGGTAATGGTGTGTTCTGGTAAATAACCTTAGAAATTATGATGTGTCAAATATCTGATGAAGTATTAAAGAGATATTGGGTGAGGTAAGAAAAAAAATTGTTGATAAAGTATTTTTAATCTCAAGGAATTCAAAGCTGTGAGAATTCTTAAGAACTGAACTTTTAATGAAAACATCAGTGATTTGTTTTTAATGTAGAGGAAAACTTGGATACGGCTTCTCCTTGTTTTCTTGCCTCCATGACTCTAAAATTAACACACTGAAAAATAATAATTTTACAAAACTGTTAAAAAATTTTCAATTATAAAATTAATATATCAGTGACTGCACTTTTTGTTATTTTTTTTAGTTAACAAGCAAAAAGGAATTCATCAAAGCCCTTGTCCACAGCATTGCTATATGTGAAGTTTTTATTCATTCAAGATTCAAGAAATTTATAATGCATGTATGTATTGCATGACCATCTAAATATATATAAATACACTACCATGAGCTCTGAATTTTTGTCATTGACTTATGAACATGATTGAGATATGAATCTATGATCTTATTTGACAGCCGTAAATTTTGCTGCAAGAAGCATAAAATTTCTAATACAGTACAAAGTCTTTAATCCGGATGTCCATAATCCGGAATGATCTATAATCCGGACCTCAAAGCTACAAACTTATGCATGCGCATAGCGTTTAACATGAATAACCTTTATGCATAATACGTTTACGCATGCACCTTTAATGTATAACAGATGGTATAAGCTAGGCTAAAATTATCTATTTCAGTTACTGTTGCAGATTGCATTGTTCCTTAATCTTCTAATTGGATCCAGCTTATTATTTTTTGCAGACTGTTAGAGCAATTTTATAAAAAGTAAGCTTGAACTTTCGATTATGTCAAAAAGAGTTTCCGATTCTGGAGCTGCCAAAGTATCTACAAAGCGAAAACATGTTTCAATGTCCATCAACAAAAGTGGAATTGCTGCAAAAATAGATAAGGCATGAAGAAAGTGACAGAGAGGTTAGTGAAAATGAAAAAATTTCGATTGACAAGTTCGTCGGTATTCTTGACACAGCAATTACAGGACTTGAACAGCGGAACTTCATAACTGAAAAAGAAATTATATCTGTTTATAGAATTAAAGAGAAAGTATTAGGACATAAAACGAAGCAACCTAAACAACTTACATTGAAAGAAATGTTTAATAAAGTAAACAAATAAATATAAAGCTTTTTTTTTTTATTTGTAAATTTTGATACTCTTAGATCATAATTGCTCTTATTTTCATAATTATGGTTTCATTTTTAATTTTATAATTTCTGCATGCCATTTTACCAGATTAAAATTGATGATCTATAATCCGGAAAAACCCCTAATCCGGAATCGCCGAAGTCCCAACGAGTCTGGATTGAAGAGTTTGTACTGTATATCATTTTTTAAAGGAAAAAATATATATTTATTTTGAGTTTAAAGTCGTTATCTTTATATTTTACCTTATAAATAGTAACAAGCATTTGCAGATATTTGGGTCTGTCAACTTTGAATTCCAGATTGCTTTGAAAAGTCCGACTCTCAACACCTAGAAAGGATATTAATTAAAAATAGGGTAAAAGTATATTTTAGGGTACCCCTTGGTGAAACTTGATGATTTTTGGTGGTACATGGATACTGTTTGAAAATTAATCACTTCAGATGAATGGTAATATATTTCACAGAGAAAACCTTTTTAATTAACAACGAACTTATTTATTTAGCATTCTAAACATATCCAAAAGGAATAACATTCTATGCTTTATCATGCTCAAAGTAATATATAACAAAACATCACTGTTGCCACAAAAAATCTACATTATAATGAACATATTAAATTGTGTATTAACCGAGTTCGTGCACGTTCCTGAACATCCTCCCACCTTGCAATTTTGGGAAATTGCAACATATTCTTTATTCAGTTCATTGGTTTCTAGTTCTGACTCTTCGGAGAGAGGCCATTTATCTGGCTCTCTTTTAAGCCAATCCGGCCACTCCCACCATCTGCACTGTAGCAACATTTTGGCATCGCACCCTCTAGAGGGAAGATCAGCTATATTGCTAGAGTTTGGTATATAATGCCAGTCATTCGGATTTGTGCATCTCCTTATTTCAGCTACATGATTTGTCACAAAAACACTCCAGTGGGAGTCTTTTTTTGATCCATGTCAGAACTACAGACAAGTCACTCCAGAGGTACACTTGGCACTTTGTCAATTTAAGAGCGTCAGTGACTTGACGATACAGCCTAGTAGCTATAAGTGCTCCAAGCAACTCTAATCTAGGAATAGTTACTTCTTTGGCAAGCCCTACTCTTCATTTACATAATACCAATTGTATCAAAAGGTTTTTAAGAATTTCTATTAAATTCGGCCCCTTTTCGAGGCAAGCATTTAAGGCATTCCTTTTTCTTTCAATGATGATCGAATACAGGTCGCACTTTCGTAGTCAGACTGGAATCCTTGATTACTGCTTAGATAATAGTGACCAGTTCACTATTACTCGGAGCTATTTCAATTACCTTCTCCCAGCCTTTAATAATACATTATATTCTTCAAAAAATCCCCTCTTCTGCAGTCTTCGTGTATTGGCGAAGTCTTTTTCCGCTTTATCTTTATTATCTTCAAGGCAACAGACTTCATACCTATTGCCCTCGATTACTTTAATGTTCTCTAGGAAAAATTTGATCATTTCATTGTCTAAAGCTCCTTAGTCTTCACTTCCACCAGATCTTTTAGCCAATTGTCTCTAAATTCCTAGTTCTGTGAGATCCAATAACAAAGTCCGACGGTATCAGCAAGCTATATGACTTGCACTGGGCCTGTAGGGTCCAACCCAATTTTGTTTCAATGGCAATATCGTTTTTGTCATTTGGAATGATATTATTTGTCATCAACAGTCCGGAATAGTCGGCTCCTATTAACAATCCGATATCTGGTGTATCTCTACCAGAATCACTGATTTTGATTTTATGTTCTCCCAGTGAGGAACATATATGTTTGAGTTTCACTCTAGGAATGTATCCACAAATTTTGTCTTTATCTAAAACCGATAACTCGTATTTGAATTTACTATCCGTTCCTTGTATTTCGATATCAAAAATACCGTGGAACTGAGATTCAGTTTCCACTCTCTCAAACAAATTGTGGCTCAAAGTCTCTTGATCTAATGGGATTAAATCTAGTTTCTTTATTATGTCTTTCCATAAGTAAGATCTTTGTGACCCACTGTTAAAATAGCGTACTTACAAGCTCCTTTTTTCCATTATGGACAATCTTCACCTTAATAGTTTGGAGAAGAGTTGTTTGTAGTTTTTAGTTAGACAATAAAGTCTCACTCGTTTCATTAGCTGCTTTAGGTGCTTCCTTTTTTGAACTTCTAGAACCTTTTAGTTTTTGCACATCACTGTTTAATGACGTTTGTTGCAAACTAGGCATTTCACGAACTTTTACACTTTTTGGCAGCAGCACAATTTTAGGCAGTTAAAACAAGCTTTTTTCTTTCTTAGTAAATTTTTCTATTTCCAATGAAAGGCTGTGCAGCTTAAAGCACTCATAAGAATTATGTATTTCCTTGTCACACACCAAACACAAAAATTAAGGTGTTTTCTTCTTGAGCTCCTGCATAAATACAAGCTGCTGTGGCTGGAACCTAGTCAAATTTGTCTGGAGCAGAAAACTTGTACGTGCCAACGAAGATGCTCTTCACTTTCAACTTCAATTCGGAGAAGCAATAAATTTTCCAAATTTTCAGTGTGTGCAACACTTTTCCTACGCTGGCGAGATCGCTCCCATGCCCTCAAATTCTTCAGGTAGTGGAAGACTCTACAAGGGGATACAGCATAGCTGCATAAATCCCACTTTTTACTCCCAACGTCTCCAAAGCTCTGAGTTGCGTCTCTAACTTATTTATAAGTGGCATAGAATCTGTTTCCTTTTTGCTAGCTGGAGCCAAAACCAACTTTAAAATTTGTGACATATATTTACGAGTAATTCATCGCGTGCAAATCGAGATTTTAGCTGCTTGATAGCTTCTTATACTTCAAGCCTGAGGGAGGATAATCTATGAGCTCTCTCGCTGGGATCCAACGACCGTTGCGCTGCAATAGGTACTGAAATTTATCATAGTCATCTATATACATCTTCGTCGATCTTTTAAACTGTCCCCAAAAATCCTAACCAATTTCGGGTCTCCCCATTGAATTTTTGAAGCTCCAACTTTGGTAATTTAAAGTTCCTTTTCGTGGAATTTTCTAAAGTCCCAGGTGTAATTACAGGAGTGTAATTCAACATTCTATTTTCTACTTTTGTTTTTAAACTGATATATTTATCACAATATGTTTCATTCATGTCAAAATCAGCTAAATATTCACTTTCGTTTTCACTTTCCAACAAAAGTTCGGAAATTTGTGATTGAACTTCATCTAATCTGTTGAATTTTCTTTCCAACGTGAGTTCAATACTTGGAGTTGATTAACCTCCACGTCAGGCTTTAGAATTTCAGCATCTAAAGCACTGGCAGTAATCGTAAACGATTGCCTTAGAGGCTTACGCTTTCGTAATAAAAATTCCATGATTTTAAATTCAATATGTCTTATATATTCAAATAATGAAGGATATAATCAAATAAATCATAAACTCACTTGATAAATTCCAATACGAAATTAATGTTTTGTTTTCACCGTTGTTTCGTTTTCTTCAAATAGCCATTCTGTCCTGTCACCGGACGCCAGTTGTTTGAAAATTAATCAATTTTTTGACTTATTTTTATAACTTTGGACGAATGGTAATATATTTCACTGAGAAAACCTTTTTAATTAACAACGAACTTATTTATTTAGCATTCTAAACATATCCAAAAAGAATAACATTCCATGCATTTTCACGCTCAAAGTAATATATAACAAAACATCACTGTTGCCACAAAAAATCTACATTATAATGAACATATTAAATTATTGTGTATTAACTGAGTTCGTGCACGTTCCTGAACAGATACCAAGTTTGTGCAATTCTTTGACTTCTTATTTTGGCTTGCGTAGCGGAGATTTTTGGGGCAAAATTCGCCGCTACACAAAGGCAAAATAACAAGAAAAAGACTTGCACAAACTCGGTATCCATGTTAACATCAACCTATTTTCATTCAAAAAATAATCCCAGAATTGCACAAAAATGGCATTGCGCACTCTCTTGACTTTATCCATGTATACGTTGACTTATTTTCACTTAAAAAAAATCAGAGAATTGCACAAACTAGACTTTGCGCACTCCCTTGACTTTTTCCATGTACTTATCGAACTATATTCACTTAAAATTCAAAGGAGTAGCCAACAAAAAATATGTAATCTGAATAAACTACATTTTAAATGAAATAACATAAAAAAGGGAATTCATGTTAGCACTACACGAAGGAAATATCCACTTACCCTTATTTACGAATTTACACGTCCTCGGTCAAACACAGTTCCTT